GGTAGGTTGTGAACTTCCCATCAAGAATCGATCCGCTGCACACGTCAGCGGTTGTGAGCCTGCACGGTCGACTGTTTGTGCGAGTCCCATTTGAGCAGTGACGGGACTCATCTCAAAGTGAGATTGTTCTTTTATAAAGTGTTTCTTGTTCGTTGCCGTCTTTGGTTCTTTAGGAATTCGTTTGTATCAGAACTAAAAGACGTTTAGCGAAATGTGATAGTTTGATTGTAACTTGGGAGTTTCTGAACATTAAAGTAGAGAAAACAAACATTGATGCTCCATTGAAAGTTAGTAGGAGGCTGCTTCTTGATACTTATGTCAAGGATGCAACCAACAATAACAATGTTGTAAGAATTTGGAAGGTTATGATTTTCTAATTATCTGTTGATTTTATAGGATAATCATATATATATACATACATGATCTTGAAGTTATAAAATAAGAATTTACTAAGTTTTTTTGTGGTCGGCAAAAAAAAAAGAAAAATACTTGAGTAAATTCTTATTTCATAACTTTTAAGATATGTTATTCTCAGTAAATTGATGATATGTTTGTTATAAATGATTTGTTTCGACATATCAGTTTTTTTCTGAGTAGGAAAGTGCTAAGGTATAATTGGTTGGAAGTTTGTTTGGGCCGATTTTAATGGGCTAAAAACCAGGCCTTACATGTGTCGTGTTGTTTTTGTCATCATAAGTGTTGAGGAACTATATAAATCTATATGCACATGTATATTGAGGAAAGTAAAGTTTATAAGCGTTAATCTAATATAAATCTTTACATGTAACACACTTTTTTTTTTGTAAAAACATATGCGACTTTCTCTAAACTAATTTCAAATAAAAAGTTATGGTATGAAGTAATAAAATATAGTATAATGACATCTATCATTATACAATTGTTTCAAAAAACAAAATTAACCGAGAGATTTTAGATTAAAATTCAGACTAGTCTCCATAACTCGTATAAGAGACGAATATTGTATGATTGTTATGTAAAACGTTTACTCATCAACCATGACTGTGTACATATCTAATTATTAAGAACATCGTTTTCTTTTTCATGTAACATCAACTATAAAATATAAATCCAACCATATCCATACAATGAACTCTATAGAACTTTCAATAAACATAAGAAAATAAAATCCAATTTCATGTTCTCAGACTCAGTATTGTGTTGCTCAATTGCATGTAAGGCACATAACATGACCACATGGAAATCTTCAAAAGATAAAGTCTTATTGCATGTATCTAAAAGGTCCTCAAAGTACAATACTCTTTAATTCTGCTTCAAGAATCCAATTCTCATTCTCATCTTGTAACAAGTAAACCTTAAATTACTCAATTTCTTATATGCACAAAATAGTATCCCCCCGTCTTGTCTTAGAAGCTCATTGGAGATATTTCACCATATACAATATCTCTTTTGGACATGCATTGGTCATGTAAAAGCTTTTCCTTTCATATATATTGTTTTTATATTTATATTCACATGGAACTTAAAAAGAAGATATGTTTTCATATTGTCCATAAATACTTTCCCTAGGGACTTGATGCATTCCTCATTTTCACATATCTTGGTACTCAAAAACCCACTTGGTTATGTTGTCGCAGAGTTTCCTAATCCTTTAAAGGGTAACTGATGAAACCCTGAGCCAAATGTTTTTCATGTTTTCACCATTTACTAGTCGTTGTAACCGTCAAAAAATCATCTCTTATGGTATGTTTATATCGTTGTAACGGACGGACAAAAAATCTCTTGTAATGGTATGTTTTTTAATCGCCCTAACCGCTATCTTTAAAAAATTTTGGTACATTTTAAAGCGTTATTTTGTTTTTCATAGACTTCTAAAGCGTTATTATTTTTTTATCTTTTTCATAAATTTCTAGAACGTTATTTCTGTGATTGATCGATTAAATCGAGGAAAGATTCATATCGATCTCATCGAAAAACAAAGTAGAGCACAATTGGTTAAAACATAAAGCATCAAATCAAGATTCTATGCATTATAAACTTGATTTGAAGTCCTTCAATATGTTCAAGGTTGGAGAAGGCTCTTTGATAACATTAATTTTCAAAACACAACAATATAAATTCATATATCTATGATTCACCAATTATATAGTCTTTTGAGGATTTCATAGTAACTATATGAATGAAAAAAAAAAGAAGATGTTTGATTTCTTCGCTGATATACATAGTAACATAGATTAAGTGATAACCTTTCATATACCTACTCCAAAAAGGGGATTACGCATACCATATCACATGTGATGGTAAATCATATAAACAAATTGGCTTCTAATATCAATTTTTTTTTTGTGTGAATTCCAGCAATAACAAATCATGTATAGGGTACAGCACAAAGCCCTAGTACTGATTAAAAAACGAAGAGAAAATGCAGATGGAGAAGTATATCTAAAGACGAACGAATTCAAATATTCATATATGATCAACTAAATTCAAAGCCAAAAGAACACCAAATTAACTAAGAACATGTCATTATCATAAAACGATTTCTTTTTCTTTTTTCAAAAATAAATTTTGGTTATAGCTATTTTTACGGACATAATTTTTTTCAATTCTAAAAAGCTGGTCTTGTAGCTGCTCCGGCTCCCCAACCAAGCAAATGAGGATCACCAGAAAACTGATCATAACCACCAAGGTTACCTCTTATCTGTCCCTGACCGGCTCTAGAAGGCGGCGATGCTGGCGTGGCTTGCGGTGG